AATTATGCCGTTCGTCAATGGTTTTCACATATCCAAGCCAGAATTAAATGCTTTCAGTACCAATTAAAAGAAAAGGAAAATATCAGTGATGGAGACTCTTTAATTGCTTTCAGTCATTGAATTTTTGGAGGTTGTGCTAAATTTGCCCATGTTGTATGATTCAACCCCATTAGTCACCATTTGCTGCTGACTCTAATTCTGATTCAAATTCCCATTCCCATCTATCAAATTCGAATCTTGACCCTGAAACTGCTTGCTTTCAGGCAATTCCTTCATCAGCCGAGTCCGGTCAATCCCCAAAACCATAACTCTCGACTTTCCACTCACCACAAACTCCTCCAACTCAACGCCACTGTTCTCTTCCGCCATTGACCTCAACGCCATCTCAACCGCCAATATCGCCCCGGATTCTCCTCCGAGCTCTCGCAGCGCCACCTTCTCCTCTGAAGTCGCATTCTGGTCGCCCTCAAGTTTTCTTAAAATCGCCGACGAGTCAACCTGCGAAAAGGGCACCCTTTCAAGCAAGCAAACCGCAACCATAGCCCGAACCACAGACAATAGGTTTCCCATCTCATCCATGGGGCTGAAGTTCTTGGGTTCGGGTTGGTCGGTCGGCTCCGAATTCGCCTGATTTGGAGAAAGCTTCGGACTTTCGGTAATTGGGTTTGTGGGTTTGGGTTCAGGGGAAGAGAGGCGACTGCATTGGGGTTCTGGGGTTAAAGGGCGAATGGGTTCGATTGGTTCGATTGGTTTTTTGGGGTTGGGTTTAGGGTCCGGGAGATAAGGTGTGAGAGTGAAAGGTCGGCCATTAAAGGCCGAGAGGAAGGTTTGGTGGTAGAGGCTATGGTGGGAACAATTACGATGATGAAGGTGATGATGACGATGAGGAGTTTACACCAGATGAAGATGATTTTTCAGAGGTGAAAGAAATTGGGAGGAAGGGGGAGAGAGAATCTGGGTAGGGTTTTTAATTTTTAATTTAATATGATTTAAAAATTATTTTTAACATGTACATAATTTTTTATTAGTTTTTTGTCCACGTGGAAGTCCACGTCATCAAAAAAAGGGGTCCCACAAATGCCACGTATGCACATAACGGATTTTATGACGGAATCGCTAACGGAGGGGGCGATCTGTAATTTTTTGCGACGTTGTGTATGTACCCATAAATGTCCCCAAAATTGGATATGGACTTATAAATAACCCTATAGGTTGGGAGATTTACTGTAGTTTGTCCATAATATTTTGAGAAAGCCAAAAGGATGCAACCTATGCCGCGTGGTATGAGTTTTTGTTTTTGTTTTTTATCTTTTGGTTATGGGCAATAAATAGAAAAGCATCTTTTTGGTACTGGTTGAGCATGGTTTGGTTTGTACTATATTTTACCAAGAAAAGGATTTGAGGTTTTTTATTGGCAAAAACACAAGTAGGTCCGGACAGTGGGGAAAGTGGAAAGTTGAAATTTTGGTGTAAACTGTATTGGAAGATATGATATCTTATATCAGTTTTCAATTCTTGACCTAAAAGTCATAAAATTAAAACATCTAGACGTAACCAAAAAACAATATTATCTCTTTAATAAAATAAACACAACTCCAACAGAGCAGTCCAACTACACGACCAAAGAACCCCGCAAACTAAACTCATAATAATACTAGCCCCTTGAGCATGTGCCAATTGGTTTTTTATTTTATTTTTAAAATTAAGAAAATATAACATGGGTAGTTATGTTCCATAAAAGTAGGACTTATTATCTGATTTTGTTTTTAATTTTAATTTTTTTTAATATGAAAGTGTGAATTTACCATATTATCCTCGTTCAATTAATAATTTCAATTCTTAATGTTTGAATTAACCAAGGGTATTTTCTGGTATTTTGAATGTTTCACCATTCTCTGTCTTTTACTTTATATATATAGATTTACATCCTGATTAATTTATATCTATACTTTGATGTAATTTTGCGCCTTCCATATATATATTTTTCTTTTATTTTTTACTCAAGGTCGCCTTCCATCTTGTTAGTGGTCAATCAAAATCAAAATCCATTTTGCACTACTAGTGGAGGGTCATCATATTTATACATTAATATATCAAAACCAGGAGATATTTATTGGTTATCTGCGACCAGATATAAAGAAAAAACAAGAAAGAGGGGGACTAGCCAACAACTAGGCATGACACAATCAGTCAGTGCATGATTGACCGTCTATATGAAACAGGCGTGACACAATCAAGCACAAAACATATCCAGTCATATCCAAAAATACCACTTCTTTTGGTTGGAATGTTAGACTTGAAGAAGGGACCACATAAAACGTTGAAAGGTAGCATTTGACATGTGAACGCATGACTAATCGAAGTTTTAGAGTTAGCAATTAATCATGCACCAATATAAAACTAATCGTAGCACCCCTCGAGCTTTCTCACACCTCATGTACTCACACATGAAGTGAGGATTGTAAGAGAGAGGCTAGCGCTAGTGCAAATAACAATTCCTTCGATGAATTTAAGATGGAGCCCCCTTTATTAACATTATATTAACAAAATTCTAGCAGCCATGAGCCTTTCTGGGTAGACCAATGATTGGAGTGGATTTGATTTGCCAGTAAAGCTAGCTTTTCAGTGTATTAAAAGTATGCAAAGATATTTTTTTTGGATTTCTATCCTCTGCATTTAGAGATGATGCATTTACCACATTTCATAAAATTTAAACCATTCAAATAATCCAACGTTTATGAATATTCCACATCACTTACAATAAATTTGTTTCACTTTTTATAAAACTGACGTCGTTACCTCTATCTTCCTCTTCCCACTCTCCTCTCTCAACTCCTCTATCTCGGTTCTTCCTCTGTTCTTTTTAATCTTTTTTTTTTCCAGCTTCTTCTTCTAGTTTAATGTATAGTAATTAAAGATGGGTATTGTAAACCCTCCATTCCTCAATCAGAATAGCAATCAGTTTGGTAATTTTCTAAGCAATTTCGGCTGATGACTACATATTGCATTACCAATCAATTGTTGCAGTGTATTTAGAATTTGACTACAGATTGCAATAGCAATCAATTGCAGGAGCAGCAAATTATAGGTACCATATTTTGGCATGTGTTAGAGATGAGATTCTCAATAGGGTAAACATTAGTCAATATGCGCAAACAACAATATGCCGGCGATATAATATGTATAACAAAGTGCATATGCAGAGCAGAGACTTTGAATATCCAATAATCGACTCTTGCCGTGGTTTTGATAGGTGTATCCATTGCTTTAACTCTTGCTTTTGTCACCCTTTTGTGTCGTTATTTACATTGTTATTCCATCACACACAGTCCAGCCGTTTGCTCTCCTAGCTACCTGTACTAATTAATCCTCAATATTAATGTACACACATCCATCATTCTACTAAGTTTGTATTAATTAACGTACATATACATATATATATATATATATTGCTAATAACGTCTAGTTTAGTAAAAAAATGTTTTTGATTTGCAAACTAATTATATTGTGTCTCATGTTTGAAATCCCATATAACCCTGTAGACTATCGCTTACATTCCAAAAAAGAAAAAACACACATTCATACATTAGCATGACACATCAACCAAAATCTTAAATTTTGGTTAGTTGGCCAGTCTTGCATTTCATTCTACTTCTTTTGATAAAAATAAATTACTTCAAATTTGAATAGATTATTTTTATCATCAATGACGGTAAGTTTTCAGTTCTAATAACTTTCAAACTTGGAAGCAAAATGACCTTTTTTTCGTGCAAGGTGGACATTTGCATGATCTCAAATTAACGAATAACATACAGAATCCCTCTAACTTGAATTTTATAATTAAAAGTGAGAACAATTAATTTTCAAAGATGTGCACACATTGACTATTCAATAATCTTACCCAACAGATTTGACGACTCCTATACTTTTGATATGCCTAGTTTGTCTTTTCATCCGTTGCCTATATAGCCCCCAATCGAGTTACCTTTTACTAGTTATAGGCAACGGAGAATCTATCTCAGATGTGTATTCCGTTTACGACATCAGTTTAGGTTAAAATACCGATATTCATGAGGCTTTCTTGTATGCAAATCGCGATGGATATTGATTTCCGATGCCAAAAAGCATCAAGGGTGTTAGTTGTAACATAACAACTGATGCTTTTGTTGTCTTATTATATCATTATATTTGAAAGTATTGATGTGGTTTATGATATAACATCGTTGATGCATATTGTGGTTATAGGCATCATTTTTACTAGATTTTATGTTGTGGTTTTATATATTCAACATCAATTTTTTTAATTAGTCAATTTCCTGATTGATCCAATTAAATACAACAATATATTTCTTCATTTATGAGCCTTGGCATTTGAGTACAAAATAGAAATATAGTATAGCATACCAGATAAAAGTATTTTTTTTTAACCCTTTATTAAAATTATCATAATTAATTCTATTCTATGCATTCATTATACTTCTTTTGATGCAAATAAATTACTTCAAATTTGAATAAAATTCTTTGTATCAGCTCAAATGACGGTAAGTTTTTAGTTCTACCAATAATTTTCAAACATGAAATCAAAATGACCCTTTTTTCTGCAAGGTACATATTTGCATGATCCCAAATTAACTAATAAAATACAGAATTCCTCTAACTTTGATCACTCTTAAATTTATTTTTAAAGGGGTGAAAAAAAAATACACAATTGAGAACACATTTTTCTTTTTCTGAATATTAAACTATAAGAGAAAGAGAGGGTTTCTCACATACACACTACTAAGGTTATAAGAGTTCAAACCTGAAACCACTAATTTTCAAATCAAGATCCTTTTTTACTATGCTATCTCATCAGTGAGAACCTCTTTGCAATACGGCAAACGTGCACACATGGAATATTCAATAATCTCACCCAACAGATTTGACGATTCCACTTTTAATACCATATATAGTTTGTCTTTTCCAATTTTGTCACACTCCTATGTCGCTATCAACAGCTCCATCATTTCACTCCTACAAAGCCAGACTACTTCTTGCTCTCCCCTACCTCCTGAAACATACCAAATCCATCAATTATTGCTAAATTACCACGCAAATGGAAGCCAGTCATGAAGAAAAACGCAACGCCTCCTTGAAGAGAGCCCTTCTCATACTAAGCTGCGTACTCTTATCAATAGGCACATGCGGAGGCCCTTTGATAATGCGCCTCTACTTCATCCATGGAGGTAATCGTGTCTGGCTTTCCAGCTGGCTGGAAACCGGAGGCTGGCCAATCATCTTTATCCCCATAGCCCTAGCTTATTACCACCGCCGCACCACTGAAGGCCCTTCAACAAAACTCTTCTTCATGAAGCTCCCACTCTTCATAGCTTCCGCCGTCATCGGCCTAATTACCGGCCTTGACGACTACCTCTATGCCTACGGAGTGGCTCGCCTTCCGGTCTCCACGTCAGCCCTAATCATCGCTGCCCAGCTGGCTTTCACTGCCCTTTTTGCATTTCTTCTTGTGAAGCAGAAGTTCACTTCTTACTCCACAAACGCCGTGGTCTTATTGACTATTGGCGCGGCCGTTTTGGGGTTGAACACCAGCGCCGATCGGCCAAAGGGTGAGTCGGATAAGCAGTATATTGCCGGGTTTTTGATGACAGTGGCGGCGGCGGCTTTGTACGGGTTTGTGTTGCCGTTGGTGGAGTTGACATACAAGAAGGCCAAGCAGACCATTACTTATGCTTTGGTTCTTGAGATTCAAATGGTTATGTGTTTGTTTGCTACTATTTTCTGCACTGTGGGGATGCTTATCGACAATGACTTCAAGGTTAGTGTTAATACTAGTCATCCTGCATTCTAACTCTACTTGATTGATTCTAAATTTCACAAGACAAGGTTTCTCTCATACTTCAATATTGTTGTAATAATGTAAAATTTTATTAATTTTTAATTACGGTAAAGAGCCTAGCCTCGAATATAACCAAACGGTAAACTTTTAGAACTGCGAGAGGAGATAAGCTTTTTGTTTTTTGGGTAATATAGGGAGCGAAGTCCAAACCAAAGAGCTTACACTGAAACGAATCTAAGTCTCAAGAGACGATTCTTATCATCATCTAAAGTAGACTGCGATAGGAGATAAGCTTTGGCTAGCTAGCTTGCAGGTTTAAGTCAAACAAAAGCCCACAAGTTCTCCTTTTGGCCTTTTCCTTGGAGTATATCGCAAAAGGTTAAAAATAGAATGTTGTAATGGATGATGATAATAATAATGACAGACACACAAAAAATAATGAAAAAAAATAGATTGCTTCAGAATTAAATAAATCTAAAATTATAAGTACCAACTGATGAATACCATTTATTTTGAACAAATTGTCATGTCATCTGTCCCATTATAATAGAGAAACTTTTCTAATGCCTAGGATATTTTCTAATAAATGATCTTATATATTGATTGTTTTTAGGTTATTCCAAGAGAAGCAAGAAATTTCGGGCTTGGGGAAGGCACCTACTATGTGGTGCTTGTATTGAGTGCAATTGTTTGGCAAACTTTCTTTCTGGGAGCCATAGGAGTCATCTTCTGTGCCTCATCCTTACTCTCTGGTATTGTAATTGCGGTTCTGCTCCCAATTACAGAGATTCTAGCTGTCATTTTTTACCACGAAAAATTTCAAGCAGAAAAAGGGGTTGCTCTCGCACTCTCTCTGTGGGGTTTTGTCTCATATTTCTATGGTGAGATAAAATACAGCAAGCAAAGAGAAAATGAAAAGAAAAATGAAAAAGAAAGAGAAATAGAAATAGAAAAGAGAGACACCCCAGAAACAGCAGACGTTTCTCGACTCGATCCCTAGGCCATGAAAACGCAAGCTGTTGTCTCATGTCTTCTTTTTTGTTGGAGTTTCTGAAGGAGGGAAAAGGGAACACGTCATATGGACGGCAACACTCAATTTATCATTTATGTACTGTTTGTTTTATTGTTATTTTCCGATGATATTCATATCTTTGTCGAGTTGAAAATTATTAGTTAGTAATTAAAGATTGTATGTACATAGAAAAGGGAACATGTCGTCATTCCCTTAAGCTTTAATAATTGTACATGGGTTTGATTATGAAAACAAATCTCAGCCATCCCAATACTTTATCAAAACAGCAGGCCATGACTCACCAACTCATTACTCATGTACTTAAGGAACGAGATAAGAGGAGAGAGAGTGTGTATGCGTGTGTGCGCGCTTATAAAACGTTAAAACTTAAATTTTCCTCTCAATTCTGAGTATGATTAAGGTCAAATAGTAATCCAAAATTATCAAAACTAATCTACTTCATTGACAGTTTATGACAGTTCGGTTTATCCGATTGGTAACCAAAAAAAGAAGACAGTTTATGAGAATTTGTACTTGAATGAAAAGGTTAAATTGAGAACATGCATTGTCATATACATGCTACTTGTGCACTTGATCACACCAAATTGTCGCTTGAAATGTATTAGGAAAATAAATCGAATATCCAGGATTTGAGAGATATTCCAAGGGGGAGAGGTTTTTAAGTAATATAGAAGAGGAAGGGGAAAATGTACCGACAGCTGGTCGAAAGAGGATGTTTAACAACATAGTCGAACTAAGCTAAAAGAAACAAGAAAGAAAACACTCTGTCTAAAAAGCTGGCCGTAGATTCTAAGTCAAAATCCAGCCAACATACTTAGATGTTCTAATAAAACTAAAATTGTCTATGGATGCATGGCAAAAAGCCTCGTACAATCCCCCAAAGAGTAATACATAAAGAACCTTTTCCTTTGTTTTGCTATAAAATACAAAAACACATATAGTTGCTGAGGGAATGAAAATGATTATAAAAGATGAAATATATAATGCAAATAACCAATGTTCCTTGCGACAAGGAATAGAGTATTTGTCTAAAGCGACTTTTAGTACCACCGTGGAGATTTGTCTAAAGAGTAGTGCTAGAGTCAGTTGCACATGCTTGTGAACTGATCTGGTCGTTAATACTTGTAAAGGGCCAGCCTAACCCTAGCTTCCTACTTTGTCTAAAAGATACAGTTGTTTGGGCCAAGCACGAAATGCTAGGCACTAAAAAAGTAGGTGTGAGACCCAAAAAGTCTATATTCAAACTGAGTGCTCTGTGAAGAGTGCGAGACCCTCATCATGAAGTAATCAAACCAACCAGTCAAGATGAGTCGTAGCTTAGAAAATCCAAGTGGGGCACAGAAGAAATTCTACATTTATGGACTCTGAAACACTAATATCAACCACACAATTTTAGAATCTAGACAGCTGCAATCAAGTAAGCATTAAAATGAGCATGTGCATCATATGTGCACGTTGCCATAGTGCACACAGTGTACCCATCTCGTTCAACAAGTTATTTTCCACAAGGTCCCATATATTAGTCCCAAATAAAAAGAGCAAGATATGTTTTTGGACGTCAAACATTTAAAATATGGCATATAATTTGAATTGTAAAATTACCAAAATATTTTGCAATGTACAATATTTTCCTTCCTGTAAAGCCTCAATGACTCTAATTAACCTGTATCGACTTTCATCCTGCAAAAAGAAAGAAAAAAAATAATTAAGTTAAGGATCCACCAGACGTTGAACTTTTACTAAGAAGAAGACATTAAGTACTGCTAGGTTTGAGGATGGATTGACTGCAGTGCCAATGGAAGTGTAAGGAAGAGAGCGAATGTCCAAACAACTTGTGACCAATTCATACTAGATGCATTTCATCTCATATTGTGTTACTCACGAGCAATGAAAATCATCATGGAGAAGAGTCAATCTATAATGTCACAACTCACGAGTACTCAATGTAGCTTTTAAACTGGTATACAAATGCTCATCTAAAGGCAATTTGTCCGACAAACAAGCCCTTCGACTGATGATGACACTGTAAATCAGGGATCCATTGACTCTAACAAAACAATGAAATACCACCTACTTGATGATTCTAGCCAAATTGGCATAGGGGAAACTGGTTCCAAAACCCATTTTAAGCTAAGCATATTACCAATACCAATACCAAAATGTCTTGAATAGCATGAGCTCATTATCTAGCTTCATAATTACAACACATGTAAGCAGCCAAAAACTATCATATATACAATAAAAGTTAATAACTAAATGACAAATTGAGTGTGAAGATTTGAAAAGAATGAGATTCAATTCAACAATTGGACAAATGCCACTTCCGTACAACCAATTAAAGAAGTAAAATTAAAGGACTGCAGAAAAAGCAAAAAGCAGACATGGAATTCCTGCCAATAACTTCAAGGGTGAGGCAATATACTGACTGGTCGTGAGAAGATTGGTACCTTTAATTAACAGAACTGCAACGAATGGAAAAGGCAGCAATCTCTATATCACTGACAATTGGTCTATGTATCTTGATCAAAATTGCCTGGAGCCAGCATTCAGCCCATGGATTTGTTCAGCAACAAAAGGAGCAATATGAATACCGAGAGTTCAAGCATAAACCAAGGCTCCGAAACATGTTCAAGTATTCGCTGAAACCTGTAAGTTCAACCAGTAGATAGCTGCTGATAAAGCCTGTTATCCATTTAAAGATAATCATCACTATCAGAAAAGTGACTAATAGATTTGCTTATATTTAGTCGATAATTAAGCTGATTGATGAATGCTCATTTGACTTCAATTTCTAATAATCTGGAGGCAAAACATCAAACTGTCTATGTACTAGGCCATGTATTAGAATATAGGTTAGGGTACACTTTTCCCCTAATGTTATAAAGGTTCGTTTGGTAACACTTTTTTTTTTTTTTGAAACCCAGAACTCCACTTTGTCAGCTTTGCTGACGCAGCTTCCAAACTGGGGCAGATTATTAATATGGTTTTTGTTTTTTTGTATATATTTTTCATTACAGATAGAGAAGCAAAAATAAGACAATAGTGAGAAGCGAGATGATAGATGTCAGGAAAGGGGGATAAAATGCACATGGAATGATTTATAGAATAAAAAATAAAACCGAAAACTATAATAAAAGGCTTTCTTTCTTTTCTTTTCTTTTTTTCTTTTTAAATTTTGGTTTTATGTATTCTTCCTCACATTTTTCATACTCATCGCCCTCTTTTCTCCCATATGCTTTCCCCCTCTCTTTAGCTAAGAAGCAACTAAAATCTAAAGACATGAACATTATCAAACGGAACTTAAATATGTTACTAATTTCCCTAATAGGATGATAAATGTTTCAGTTTCATCATCTAATTTGACCATGTTCAACATCATAGTTTAGAATGTGTAATATGAACCCTCCATCCATATACGTTAAATGTAACTGATGGAAAACAATATCACATAATGCTAACTCGTTCTTCCTTGTTGGGTGCAGCAGGAGAAATCAGAGCACCATGCTGAACATCAGCCTCAACTAGGGGATTATTTTCTTGTCATCTTCCCCACTGCCACATTGAAAGTTACCAACTCAGACTTGCTTAAGACTGCTGACCTTATCGTCCACTTAAATAGAGTATAAGTGACTGTCTGTGACTTGCTTTTCAACAGAGTCGACAAGTCACAGCCAGAACATTTTACCAGAGTTCTGGTATCTTATTTAATTTCAGGGAATACTGTGTAACCTGGATTTCCAGATCAGGAAGGTCTTCCAACACATAAAGGGGAGGAGGTGGAAGATCTGGTCCCCCAAACTTCTCATGCCACAGAGCAGATACTGCAGCTGCCTAGCCTGGGCTTGAAAATTTTCCAGTCCAGGCTGAGACAGGTGAAGCAAAATCCTGGAAAAGCAATGACCTCCAACCAAATTTGAGTTACTTAGCTAAGCCCAGTTCAATGTGGTAATGTGGAGCAAGTAACTGGCAAGGGAGGAGCTGAGCTTGGCAGAGAATTCAGTGTCAAATTTTTTGAGGTATTCCATGTCAACGAGGTATTAGGGGTCTCCTTAGAATTGATTTCGTTTTGAACAATGAAAACATCATTCCTCAGTCACATGCCAAGCATGTTATGAAGCATTCCACCAGTAACATTTAACGAACACGAATGGAGGATTCAGATTTAAAAAAAATAAAAAACATGAGGATAACATTCTTCAAATTAGAAAAGCAAGAACATCAGAACATTTAAGAAACTACAGGGGTGGGTGAAAGGTGTAATCCACCCTATAAGTTAGTAAATGGCCTGTACAATATCACATTACACCTAGCACCCAAGTGGTATTATGGATATTTATGTTTCTGAGAAGATGAGAAAAAGCATCATATAACCGACATTTTTGGACATAAAAGGCTTACCAATCTCTTTTATTGGAAGTGCTGTTTCCATGCATAATTTCCTCCCTTGCAAACTCTTCTAATATAGCATGTTGGCGTTCGTTTATTTCACTTTATCAAAAGGAAAAAACACAAATCAGATGAAAAGATTCTCCTGGATCACAAGTGTAGAAGTAATTACAACGTGAAGAAAAAATAATAATAATAAATCATTCGTGAAGGAAGTAAAATGGAGGCACCAATCTACAGCTTTTATCAAGTGAGGCAGAGACAGGTAGCTGATATCAGTTCAACTTAGGTGGATCCTTGAGCACAGGAGTTAAAAAGCAAGCATCGCAGTTCTCACTTGATAAGTAGGCCAGTGCCAACACGCATTTTCAGAAATATATGTTCGGTTTCTTCAAACAATTTTCTTAGAAAATATTGACATGTTATACCTATAACCACATGCAACCAAAAGTAATAAAGAAAGCTTACGTGGGAAATCTAACTTGGAAGTGCACATATTGATCTCCATGGGTAACTATAAAACCATGTTTTGGCAGTCCTGCAAAACATAGAGTCTAAGAAAATTTCAAGAAAGCGAGGTACTAACTTTTGAGTCATGAAAGTTAATGATTTACTAACCTTTTCCTCTTAGTACAATATGTTGTCCAGGCTGAACCCCCTTTGGTATCTGAGAGATCCATAATTACAAGGAAGAGTCAGTCTGATGTAGAATCAAGAAGATGATGGAAGCGAGAGAAATAGGAATAGAACAAGAGCAGAAGGAAAAAGTAGGGACACTTCATCTCTAAACAATTCCATAGGCAAAACCGAAATCCAATCACAAGGATGGGCCAGTCTAAATAGGTAGTCATCCCATAAGGATAAATAGGAAGGTCACCACAATGATCGCCTCACCATCGAAGTGTCAACTGAGCTGTGGTAAGATTACGCCAGACATAGATGAAACATCATTGGACAATTTCTCTGTCTAACTACAGATGTTTCTAATAACATTCAGCATATTTGGTTAACCTCTCATTCTTTAGTATTTATTGTAGTACTTAAATACTCATATAAAATTAATAAATACGTTTCTGAAGAAACAACAAACACAAAAATAATGCTCAGCCTGACAAACAACACATTAGATTCCTGACCTTAAAAATTAAAATTTTAAAAGTTTCAGGCAAGGGAGACTCCAGAGCAACAAATTGCATCTTATATCCAGCTTTATACCATATTATACACATCCATGGATCCAATTCAACTAAGACTCCTCATCCCCAAACACATGCCATAAAGTTGACCACATTTAATATAAGTGTTTAAATTGCCCAACAAAACTAAAATCGTCCACTTATTAGAGTGGTTACACAAGAAAAGAAAATATTGGGGACAAAATTTTCAAGTTACTTAGATAATAAAGGTTTAGCACAAAGAAAAAACTCTTACTTTTACTTCTATCTTCCCAGACAAAGTAGGTACCTCAACCTTACCACCAAGAATAGCCTGAAACATTCAAACTTTCAGCATCAACATTAATATTTTAGGTTTTGAGAAATGAATATATAGACGGGACAATAGGACAAGGAAATTGCCTTCAATGCCGACTCGAGAGAACAACTACTTGCATTAGATACTTTTACCAGTGAATTTAAGGAAATGGAGGACCATTAAATAATCTAGAGCAAACACGGAAGTTGACAGAAGAAACTATTAAGTTTTTAGAACAAGAAAATTAATAATAACAGGGATGCTAAAAGTAAGTTTGGAAAAAAAGAAAACACAAAGTAAAATCGACAGATGATATGACATGGCACTAAGTGGAAAGCACCATAAATTGCCAAAAGAAAATATTACATCATATGGAAACAAGGTAACTATTTAGAGACATGAATCAATGCATGGAATCGTTCTCACTTGCGTAAAGCTAATATTAGAGTTCACATAAACATCTGCACCATCCCTAGCAAAGATAGGATCTTCAGAAACCTACACCAAAAAGAAACCAAATTTGAGAAGGCAAATCAGGATACATATTCACAACCACACTAGCTTCTACACAATAAGTCACTGAAATGCAAGTCTTCATTTGATCAAGTTCAATTATAATCACAGCATGTGCTTAGATAACATCTCAACCCAACTTAGCATACAATTCCAGCTTATCCTCCTTTTAACGGGTAATGCAAGGAACTAAGTCTTCCAAAACACTCATTATCATTTAAAACATGCAAGAAAAGAGAGTAAAGTTGTACCTTTAGTTTAATGTAAAAACAGCCTGGTTGACCTCCTCGTACCCCACTATTCCCAGCCTCCGGAATACGGATTGTATCTCCAGAATCCACACCTATAGCCATGAGAGAGAGAGAGAGAGAGAGAGAGAGAGAGAGAGAGAGAGAGGTTAGATAATGAAAAAATAATAATAAAGTTCAATTCAGAATTCACAAGTAACATATGATAATTTCTAGACATTAAAGATACATCATGTACAAAGAGAAGATTCTCGTAATGACTCGAAATTACACTCTGTTAATCCTATAGGGCACTCAGCTTCACATTAAGAGCACTCAGTATGTTTGTCGATAATTTATACCATTTTCTTACAGGAGATTGAGTAAGCCAAATATTATTAAACATAATGCCAAACAAAAGGAAAGCAAATGTAGCTACTATAAACTCTCTGCATGATCTTCATGTTTTCTGAACATGTATCCAATGGAATTTTTAACATGCCCCCGTAACAAATATACAATACAAGATTTGTAGAGCCAAATGATAGTTATGTAACAAGCATGTCAAAAAACCCATGTTGCAACCTTCCTTCATCAAATCAAACAATCTATTACCAACCTGCTGGTATCGAAACTTTAACCTTTCTAGTGCCTTCAACAACCCCTAACCCTCCACATGAGATGCAAGATTCCTGCAACAGATAAATAAACGCCAACAATATTATTTGCATCACACAATTAAACACAATGAATTTTTTCATTGGAAGTCACATTAAACCTTGATTATTTTGCCCGCCCCTTTACAAGTACTGCATGTTGATGTGAATGGAGGAACTGTAACCTGGTAGGAGATTAAACATCAGAACAGACAATTTAATAATTTGTCACTCTTGTAGGATGATAGAATAGAAATAATAATAATAATAATAATCCTCACAAACTGACTCCTTTCAGAAGAAATATCCCCATAACCATCATCAGTGTAGATCTTTAAAACTTACTCTCCCAATACCTCTGCAAGTAGGACAAACTTTGGTCTTGGCATTTAGTGGAGAGCCACGCCCATCTGCATCATGAAATATTAGGGAAAACCATATTGCTAAAGTATTTTATTTGGGAACTTATGATCAGATTGTGAATTTTTGGAAGGAACATTAAAATGATCCATAGAAGAAAAAAAAATCTCACCCTCCAAGATAGGTGTTATTCCCAAATCCAAAGACAAACTTCAGACTCTGACCAAACCCAGACCTCGAGCCTCAAACCCCCAAATCACATACATACCCCTGACCCCTGACTCCGAACTCCCAGAGCCAAAACATCGAAACCATATGCCGAACCCTGATGTTCGGACAGATACACATATTCTAGACCCAGTATGGACTCTCTGCCCGGACCAAATATCAAAGTCATGCATAATGGGAAATTTCAGAGTCCAAAAAGTAGTTCCTTCTACAACAGCGCTCACTTAGCAACAGAACATATGCAAAATATTAGACTTCACTCTTATGCAATCAAATTATAAATAAATAAAAAACGAACTGAAAAAAAAAAACCCTTCCCATATAAAGGAGTAAACAAATAAATGGACATCTATGTTGTGGTGAAAGGTTTTCAAAAGAAACGATGATATAAATATTTGAGATCCATTTTATAATTACAAAATTTCCTATCAGAAAGAAAAAAAATGTAAAAAGCAATGGAATCTTAAAATATTTATTCGACTCACGGCAAGAATCACAGGGAACGTGTGCATTGACAGAGAGTTGCTTTGTGCATCCTTTAGCAGCTTCAGAGAAAGAGAGTGACAGCTCCACCTACGAAACACAGACAACATCAATCATTTCAGCTTGTAAATGCAGAAGGAAAACCACACAAAACGTGTAACCTATGTGAATCAAGTTTACCTCAATATCAGCTGCAACTTGATCGAACTCATGTTCAAAGATCTGCAGTATCAAATCACTGTCAGAGTAACGAAATTTGAGATTTCAACAAGCTGCAGTAACAGACTGCCTTAAGATCAACGATAGAACACTCACTAAAATACCTCTGAGAATATTTTATGGAATGAACTGGTAAAATGAGTTTGAAAACCATATCTAAACCCTTCTGCACCAGCAGCACCATGAGTTTCATTATCATATCTGAACCCCTCTGCATCCCCAGCAGTATACCCTACGTTTTCTGACCCACTTGAGCGCTTCTTCATTGGGAAAAGAAAAAGAGACAAAAAGAACAGATAAGTAAGATCTAAAAATGGTACATGGCGTTCAGGATTTTGATTGCAGAAAAACTATTAAACTTTTGATGGCAAGGCTCAGCATGCGCACCAGTCAATTTTCTTTCTTCCAAGTACAAATTTACACACCAAAAGTGTGTGTGCGTGAGAGAGAGAGAGAGACAGACAGAGACAGAGACAGAGACAAAGACAGAGACAGATACAGAGTTACTACCTTGTCATATTGTGCCCTCTTTTCAGGATCTTGCAAAGTCTACAATTAACAATAAATAAATAAAAAGAGAATTATGTAAATGTTACACATAAAAATTAAGGAAAGCATAAAAACCATTCCAAATTTTGGTAATTATTTGATAAGAACATAACGAGAGACAACTCTGAAAATTTCATAAAGTTGGGTAAATTGCCACCCTTCCACAAGTCAAACCTCATAGGCATCTCTTATTTCTTGAAATTTTCTCTTAGAAGAAGGATTGTCCTTATTTGCATCTGGATGGTACTTCTTGGCAAGCTGCAAAAATATTCAGCGTCAACAGATCAAAAAGATAAGATTTGCTAAAGTTGTGGAACAAGACAAGAGTACTCAATCAAGAATTTTGCATGGCTTCAATGGTGTATAATAGAGAAACAATTTATGGCATGGCTTCAATAGAGTATAATAGGGAAAGTTTAAGGTCAGATCATACTTCATAATCCTAAATTCATACACCATTCGAATCAGCATTATGCAAATAAAGATTTTCACACTTGCCTAATTAAAAGAAGGAGGGGAAAGAAACATGAAAAGCAAAAGGAAGATATCAAGAAAGAAACATCACCAGCATTATGCAAATTTTACATTTCAACTTAGTACTAGTTATAAAATTCATTCTAGTCAAAAAAATTCCTCCACGACATCCAATCCCCTTTCAAACAAGCAGACACATTTTTAAAGGAACTACACTGAAATAACACCTCAAGATGTTAACATTGTTTCTGCAATGTACATGCTAAATGCAATACAATTGCTTTCCCCATGAACGCCATTACTTCTATATAAACCACACTTCAAATCACACACAAACCAATTCCAGAAAAACTACATGAAATTGACAATTTGTATACTGACCACACGAAAAGCCTTTTTTATCTCATCTCTGCTTGCGCTTTTCGAAACGCTGAGAGTTTCATAGTAGTCTCTTTCAGGTGCGCAGCAAAACCCTGCAAAGATCATCAACTTCAAGCCATGAACCCAAAAGTTCTGTCACTCACTGTTAGAGAGAGAGAGAGAGAGAGTGAAAAACCTGAGGCATGGAAATAACGATTTCCCAATGAGGTAGCGAAACCAGCTACAGAACCACAAGAAGGCGAACCTAAGTTTGAAAAGCATCGACATTAACAAAGATTCTGAATTCTCGTAACCACAAAGCAATCAGGCATGAGAAGTAAAACAAGGAGCCGAGGAGCTCACCATGTGTTCGATACAATGCCTCGCTCAATGACGAAAGCCTCCGTGGCCAATCAACTTGATCAACGGTCGACTCTGCAGCCAACGACGACACCAAACACCTCCGAAGCTGCATTTCAGTACAGATAAATTATAAGAATAAAGCAAAATGATGAAGAAAACAGAATGAATCTTTGAGCTTCATCTTCCTCACCAGACCAAGCAAGCAAAAATTTCGCATTTTAGAGGTGTTTGGCTACTGTGAACGATGAAGCTCCAGAACTTGGGTTTGGGATTTTCTTTTAGAATTGTGACTGGAAGGAAGCTCTGGAAATTCGAGAGAAGAAGAATCAAGAAACGAACAATCGGAGCGACAGTCCAATTCGGTAATTTCACCCGCCGACAGGGTTTTGTGTTTTAGGGCGCGACTTCAACAACACGTTGCGTGGCGGGGGGGTTAAGAAGATCAAAACGCTGTCGTTTCGGCAACATATTAACTTTCTGCCTTTCAGATATTCTGGTCCCCACACGTACGGACGCCCCTGATCTTTCTTCAACTAATGAAGAGGACCTGTGAGCTCTGCAGTTTGGACTTCCGTGGCGACTAGCTGTGGGCTCTTCACCGGTCTGAGATGGTGCGCCCCACAGTTCACAACAAACTCAGTCAGGTGGAGGAGGCAGCTGTCGTCGCTCCGCTCAGGACCAATATTTTGGGATAAAAAAACAGAGTCGATTCCCCTCTCCCTCAATATAGCTAAAAAACACATACCCGTCCAGAAACGGCTGTTCCCTTCCCGCTATATTTTTTCCCTTACAATGTAAAGAAGAGATTAAAACACCCACAGAATAATTTATTGACAAGCATGAAATTTATTTACAGTATATATTTACTCATATTACTCACAAGGTTTACATTAAAAGATCTCTCTCTCTCTCTCTCTCTCTCTCTCTCTCTCTGTGAAAAACAGGGCAGAACAAAGCAAAAACAGAGGAAACACAAAACACAAGCATAAATTACAGATCATAGGGAGGTTTGTTGTCCAATATGACTGATTGTTTGCTTCTTGAAATTTTCAACATTTTATCACACTTAATTTGTTACTCAGTAATCAACCATTTGCCGCCACTGATCTTTGTCTACACGCTTGTCTCCACATATGTAACGTCGTGGCGAGCCAATATATGGAGAGTACTAAAAAAGAAGATAAGAAAATATGAAAAAGGAGGACCAGCCAACAACCAGGCGTGGCACAATCAGTCAGTGCATTATTGACCATTAACAGGCGTGACACAATCAAGCACAAAGCATCCAGTCATATGTATAAATACCACATCTTTGGTTGGAATGTTAGACTTGAAGAAGGGACAATATAAAATGTTGAAAGGTAGCTATGCATTTCTAAGTTCCTAAAATTACAACGGTTGAGAAAATAGCATAATTTTTCTCGAATTTTATTATGGTTAGTAGTGTTTTGCACGTGAAGGCATGACTAGTTAATTGCTAACCATAGACATAGCACATCTATATTTAGGGTTAGTAATTAGTCATGCACCCACATACTTTGCACATGTTAGTTGGGAGCTTAAAGCACGACATAGCTTAGTTGGGCATAGCCATTGCAACCGTTTTGATAAGCGCTTCCTTACCACCAAGAGAGAGATAATGTTCTGGCCATCCATTAATTCTCGACAATATATTTTCCTCCGTACTTCTTTAAACACCTGCTTCTTAGATGCACCAAAATCAGTATTTATGCTCATATATTTTCCAAAAGCTTCTCTCTCCCGAATATGCAAAAGTCATTTCTATTCAGTTGTTTGGGACTGCTTTTGCTCATAAGTGCTTCTAACAAAAACGTTGTCCTTATAAAGTCGTTGCAAAAATTCATTGAGTGGCCTTTACTAGAAATGAGATTCATCTCAATATTTATGTACATGCATCCATCGATCTATTAGGGTTGTATTATATGTACATTGCTGATGAATTCTACATACCATTTGAATTCGTAGTCTTTGCATTTCATTCTATTTCCTTTGATAAAAATAAATTACTTCAAATTTGAATTGAATTATTTTTATCATCAATGACGAATAAAATACAGAATCCCTCTAACTTGGATCACTCTCATTTTCAATACGGCAAAGCTGTACACATTGACTATTCAATAATCTCACCCGGCACATTTGACTCCTCCTATACTTTTGATATGCATAGTTTGTCTTTTCCAATTTTGTCATTCCTGTGTCACTATCAACAGCTCCATTATTTCACTCCCACAAAGCCAGACCACTTCTTGCTCTCCCCTCCCTCCAACACTCCATTTCTGAAACATACCAAACCCATCAATTCTTGCTAAATTACCATGCACATGGAAGCCAATCATGAGGAAAAACGCAACGCCGCCTTGAAGAGAGCCCTTCTCATACTAAGCTGCGTAATCTTATCAATAGGCGCATGCGGAGGCCCTTTGATAATGCGCCTCTACTTCATCCATGGAGGTAAACGTGTCTGGCTTTCCAGCTGGCTCGAAACCGGCGGCTGGCCAATCATCTTCATCCCCATAGCCCTAGCTTATTACCACCGCCGCACCACTGAAGGCCCTTCAACAAAACTCTTCTTCATGAAGCTCCCGCTCTTCATAGCCTCCGCCGTCATCGGCCTCCTCACCGGCCTCGACGACTACCTCTACGCCTACGGCGTGGCCCGCCTTCCTGTCTCCACGGCAGCCCTAATCACCGCTGCCCATCTGGTTTTCACTGCCCTTTTTGCATTTCTTCTTGTGAAGCAGAAGTTCACTTCTTACTCGATAAACGGCGTCTTCTTATTGACTATTGGCGCGGCTGTTTTGGGGCTGAACACTAGCGCTGATCGGCCAAAGGGTGAGTCGGATAAGCAGTATATTGCCGGGTTTATGATGACGTTTTCGTCGGCGGCTTTGTACGGGTTTGTGTTGCCGTTGGTGGAGTTGACATACAAGAAGGCCAAGCAGACCATTACTTATGCTTTGGTTCTTGAGATTCAATTGGTTATGTGTTTGTTTGCTACTATTTTCTGCACTGTGGGGATGCTCATCAACAATGACTTCAAGGTTAGTGGTAATCCTAACCTCTCCTTCATCATCATCCAATCATTTATAGTTGTTGGAGATTATACTTTAATCTTAATCATAATCATAATCATCTCCTTAATTATATTCATTGTTTCTGAACCGCACATTCTAACTCTACTTGATTAACAATAATATAGATTCTCAATTTCACAATACAAGGTTTCTCTCATACTTCAATATTGTTGTAATAATGTAAAATTTTATTAATTTTTAATTACTGTAAGCCTATAGCCATAAAAAGATAATATTACTACATATATATATACACACACACACACTTAATTTAGGGTGGAACTAGTAGGTAGAAAGTTATAAAGTGACTTTTAGAACTGCGAGGATAAGCTTTGGCTAACTAGCTTGCAAATTGCAAGTTGCAAGTTGCAAGTTTAAGTCAACAAAAACCCACAAGTTATCCTTTTTGCATTTTCCATGGAGTATATAACACTCTGAAGAGATAGTGTGATTTCTCAGTCGCCTAAGGCAATTCCTCATGTTGTAATGGATGATGATGATGATGATGATTTAGAGGAATAATTGCTTCTGAATTAAATAAATCTAAAATATTATAGGTACCAACTGATGAATGTGGGCATTATTAACAAACTGTCATGTCATCTGTCCTGTTATAATCAAGAAATTTTTGCAAATGACCCATTAGTACAGTGGTTTAGAGAGCAATTGCTCTCTAGAAAAGGTCCTAGCATCCGTGTAATTGAGAAATTTTTCGGATGCCTAGGATATTACTAATATGAGTTATAATATTCTCCAATGAATGGTCTTATACATTGATTTAAACTTTTTTAGGTTATTCCAAGAGAAGCAAGAAACTTCGAGCTTGGGGAAAGCAGATACTATGTGGTGCTTGTATTTAGTGCAATAGTTTGGCAGGGTTTCTTTCTGGGAGCCATAGGAATTATCTTCTGTGCCTCATCCTTGCTCTCTGGTATTGTAATTGCTGTTCTGCTCCCAGTTACAGAGATTCTAGCTGTTATTTTTTACCACGAGAAGTTTCAAGCAGAAAAGGGGGTTGCTCTTGCACTCTCTCTGTGGGGTTTTGTCTCATATTTCTATGGGGAGAGAAAATACAGCAAGCAAAAAGAAAGTGAGATGAAAAATGAAAAAGAAAAAGAAGTAGAAATAGGAAAGAAAGATACCCCAGAAACAGCAGAAGTTTCTCAACTCGATCCCTAGGCCATGAAAGCGCAAGCTGTTGTTTCATGTCTTCTTCTCTGTTGGAGTTTCCGTAGGAGGGAAAGGCTGCATCTTCTGTCATTGGCAGTTCATGTGAATTTGTACTTAAATGAAAAGGTTAATTTGAGAATATACATTGTCATAGATATATATATGCTACTTGTGCACTTAATCACACCAAATTGCTTGAAGCGAAAGCAATCGAATATCCAGGATTTGAGAAATATTCCAAAGGAAATAGGTTTTCAAGTAATTGTACTTGTGCTACGGAACCAATTTAGGTTTAAAAGGCATTCACATTAACAAAAATTCTGAATTCTCTTGACCACAAAGCAATCAGGCATGAGAAGTAAAACAAGGAGCCGAGGAGCTCACCATGTGTTCGATACAATGCCTCGCTCAGCGAGGAAAGCCTACGAGGCCAATCAACTTGATCAACGGTCCAACGACGACACCAAACGCCTTCGAAGCTGCATTTCAGTACATATAAATTCTAAGCATAAAGCGAAATTGATGAAGAAAACAGAATGAGTCGTTGCGCTTCGTCTTCCTCACCGGACCAAGTAAGCACAATTTTCGCATTTTAGAGGTGTTTGGCTACTGTGAAGGATGAAGCTCCTCAAATTGTTGTGATTGGAAGCTCTGGAAATTTGACAGAAGAAGAATCGAGAAACGAATAATCGGCGCGACTTTAAACAACACATTGCGTGGTGGGGTTAAGTGGATCAAAACGGTGTCGTTCGGCAACATATTTACTTACTGACGCCCCTGATCTTTCTTCAACCAACGAAGAGAATCGGTGAGCTCTGCAGTTTGGACTTCCATGGCGACTAGCTGTGGGCTCTTCACCGGTCTGAGACGGTGCGCCCCACACTTCGAGAACTCAGTCAGGTGGAGGAGGCAGCTGTCGTCGCTCTGCTCTTCGTCTTTGCCAGTTGAAAGGCGCAAGGACGACGAGCTCAAGAGCAAGATTTTTGGGCTAAAAAATCCGGGTCGGAGCGCAACCACTGTGATTCAGAAATGGGTCGACCGAGGCAACAAGGTCTCTGTTCTCGAACTCCGTCGCATTTCCATTCAACTCTTGAAATCTAAGCGCTTCGACCACGCTCTCCAGGTTTCAATTCTTCGTTTGTTTGCTCAAAATGTGCTTAAAGCTTGAAGATTAGGATATTTTGTAGAGTCTTTCAATCGAAATTTCTTCCTTTTCAAGATGAAAAATTGGAAAAATTGTCACTT